TAAAAAAAAATAAAAAAATAAAAATAAAATTAAAAAAAAATTAAAAAAAAATAAAAAAAAAATAAAAATAATAAAAAAATAATAAAAATGAATTTAAAAAAAATAAAAAATAAATAAATAAAAAATAAATAAAAAAATAAAAAAAAATAAAAAATAAATAAAAAAAATTAAAAAAAATTAAAAAAAAATAAAAAAATAAAAAAAAAATAAAAAAAATAAAAAAATAAAAAAAAAATAAATAAATAAATAAAAAACAATAAATAAATTAAAAAAAAAAAAAGAATATTACGCCTCTAAAATAGTTTTATAATTTGATAACAGATGGCGCTCTAGTACATCGTATCTACAGCCAATGAGCGCGCATTCTATCCGTGAGCTTCAGACAAACAGACAAACAGACAGAATAAGGCAAATATATAAGTAGATTATCAGATACAAAATTATATCGGGAAAAATTCTAAAAAGCAGAGACCACGGGTGAAACCAGTTCATTTTTTTGTACGCAGGAACAAAATTCTAACAGAAAAACATTCATTCGAGCAGAAAACAAAAGCCAGATCACAGATCATCTTTCTATAAAAATATCGCTTCTCAGACACAAAGTTTGGAGCGGGACGTTTCACAAGAGTGAATCCACGGCGCCAATTTATAATTGTAACGAATAGTATTTGAAAATCAAAATAATATAATTTTCGAATATCGTTGTGAAAATGTACATTTTTATTTTTATATTTTAAAAACACACAAAGTTTGGAGCGGGACGTTTCACAAAAGTGACATCCACGGCGCCAATTTATAATTGTAACGAATAGTATTTGAATAAAAACATTTAATCGGGTAAAACCTGGGTGTTGCCCGGTCGGCTAGTTTGATATATATTCAAAATCTCTCGCCAACTCTGGACTGATCATTATGAATCAATTTTAGAATGCCAAGCAGCTATAGACATTTTATAATGGAAACTGATGGCGAGGAAGTAATTCGAAATTATATACTTTTATAGCGGGGCTGATATAATAGAGGTGGTCGGTCAGGCTGGTGTAGGAATGGAGGAGCACAATAGATCACCTCTATTGGAGAATTGTTTGTGACATATATTTCAAAGAATGTATATTTTAAATACTGGAGAGTGTCTGTGTGTATTTGGCATAGAGGACCTCCATTCATTGGTTTCATTCTTCCCAACTGCAAACTTCCAAATTGTAAGAAAATTGTCCCCTGACAACCAATATCAGCCACTTTCACAAACTAAATTGTTTATTTGTTTCTCCCACCAACCGTATTGTGAATATACGCAACAAATAAGTAGACTACATGTGATGTCTAAGCTTCTGTAACATCACACCTAGGGTAGGTCGACTGGAAATTTTGCATATTTCCTTGTACTGCACATATTTGCATAAAACACGTAGGGGAGCAGTCTGCAAATTTGGAAGACTTCGTCCAAGGTGTGTTAGCTTCCGTGACATCACACCTAGTGTACTCATTTGTTGTATTGTTTGTTTGAAATCATCCTTTGAACAAATGGGTAGGTCAACTGGAAATTTTGCATATTTCCTAGTACTGCATATATTTGCATATAACACGTACAGTCTGCAAATTTGGAAAACTTCATCTGCTGAAAATGAAAACTTTTTTTTACCCCACATCATCCATCTATATGTGCATAAGTGAATGTTTTATTCTAGGTGTATTACAAATGAAATTATGCAAATCAATTGCTAACACATTTTCAGAGATTAAAACTGTGTTTGTTATATGTTGAAATCTTTTAGCATTTTTGTTATATATTTTGAGAATTTCCTATGTTCCTTATTCATACAAGACTTGCAATACTTTTTATCTAGGACAATTTATATCAATACAGAGATTTATTTTTTTTTATATATTTTAATTAAACACAATAAACATATTTAAAATAATATATTCCACATGTATATGTGGAATATATTATTTTAAATATGTTTATTGTGTTTAATTTTACCCCTATATTTATAACTTGAGATATTAAACACACATATGTCTCTAAATATACATTGTGAATGAAATCAATTTCAATACAAAAGGATATCAAGAAAAAAAAAAAGAGTAATTATCTATGAATAAATATATTTAAATTTGACTGTGATACCCATACACACAGTAGGTTTTATTTTGACAGAATGTTTACTATTAAATGTACAAGAATAGAAAAAAAATCTTGATAGCTTTATTAAACCTGTTGCCACACATCTCAAATTCTGAAAACTTAAGACTCCTAAGTCCAGAGAAAGTTTGATCAAGATTTGACCGTATAAATGTTTTTACTTGGCATTTCTATTGAATTGAGAGAAATTGTTTAAAACTGTGCATTTATTTATTTCTGTATGTGTGGTATATATGTGAAAAAGTATTATATGTCTACTGGATTTTTATTTATTTATTATTTATGTATGTATTACACATGTGTGAAGAATACCAATATTGATAGAATGTGATGGGATATTTTTACCTATTTGATGGCACATTTTTGGTATTCTCACAAGTCTTTACTAAATTAGATCATGTTGCATTGAACTTTTTTTTCCAATAGTTTTGTC